TTTAAGAGAATCACAATGAAAACATGATACTACCCTTAGAAGTCTAAATCCTGGGAAGATTGGTGGATACAGGTGTGTGTTGTAGGCGTGTTTTGCAAAATTTCCACGTGATTGTGTTTTGAAGATACTGCCTCCCTTTCCATTAAAAGAGCCCCATTGTGAATTCTTTTGTAATGAGCAGAAACTTTTGGTTAGGAAAAAAACTACCAAACAATTGATTCTTAGAGACGTAACATTTGCTTAAAGTGTGATAATGTTAATGGTAAGAAATCCTCTATATAAACTAATACAGTCAATAACTATTTATATGGGCTCCTCCTCTCTATGTAAGGCATTGTTTTTGGTGTGTAGAGTGCAAAAAAACAGAGAGGACATCACCTGTCATCATTGAGCTCAGTTTACTGTGGAAGACAATCTCTCTATAGTTAATTATATAAGATACAGCATAATACTATATGTTATATTTTCAAAACATGAAAGTGCTAATCACATTAAATAGAGAAATGTTTCATGGAGTGGGTGAAATTAAAGGTGGGCCTTAAAGAATGAGTAAGATTTTTAACAAGAGGGAGAGGAAGTAAGGCTATTTTCTGCACTGGGTGGGTACTGTAGAGTGGCCCGATTATGCAGCTGTCTGGCGGGGAGTGTGAAGGCAGGGGTGTGTGCACCATGATGAGGAGTTGTTCCTTACCTCTATTACAGAGATAATGGAGGATCATTAAATGCTCTTGAGCATGGATCAGCGTCATTAGATTTGTGTTTCAAAATAATGAAATGGCAGTGTGGTGAGCGAATTGCAAAGTAGAGAGTTTGTGAGCAGAGTAAATGAAGTATTTATTAGGTTAATTGGATAATGTAGATGTACAGGTCCTTCATATGTGGATGGCAGTGAAGACTTGAGCTTAGGTTAGGGCAAAGGCTGGGTACCCAAAGGGGGAGAGCAGAAGGGAGGAGGACAAAGGGGCCCACTTGGATGCCGCCTGTGCGACCTCAGTGCATTCAGGACAAGCTGATATTTAACTTCTATAATATTTTGTTAAATTATTTCAGCATCTCCATATGTAAGATTTAAATCTTATTCTAATAATCATTTCTCCGGTACGGCTGACCAAGTAGAACATGAATTTCTTAATTTAGAAGAGTATTAGCCTGGTTAATTTGGAAATAAATGCCCTTAATACAAGCATAGCACAACTCAACCTTAAACGCAATGATGTGGACCCATAGTGAGTGTTCCAAATGTCACTTGTCCCCATGACTACCTTATATAAATTTAAGGAAATGCTATTATTTCCTCTAAAAGTGTGTAGAGCCTTGAATTTTAAAAAGAGGTTTTATATTAATTTAATCCATGGCAACAAGGATTTTCTCAAAGCAAGTAGTTCCAGGAGGATCTATTTTAGCAGCAACATCTGTGAACCATTCTAAAACCTTGCAATAAAAAAAAATCATACAATATCTGACCAGAAACAACAAAGCCAAATTGGATTTCTCTCTGGAAAATGAGATTCAAATTAGGTTTTAAACCTACAGACTTTCAGTGGGAAAGGTAAAAAAGTATTATATTTAAATCATTTAAAAACAAGTAATTTTAGGCATATACAGTGTTGAGTCATAGATACTGTTGCAGACATGTTTCCAGTGTTAAGGCAAATGTTATTCTAAAGAGAGATGGGATTAAGGAGAGAGAAGAAGTTCAACTAATTTTTCTTTTACATTCTCCTGGCCTCGCCTCAGTTCATTTCATGTAACTTTACAAGATGAATATATCTAACATTAAAGTCTTGATCCTGTAATTTCTCTGCTTGCAAAATCTTAATGGTTCTCCACATGGATCTTGAAGACCAAAGCATGTAGACAGACATCAGAGTTCTGCAGGCTCAGGCCTTTGTTTCACCTCTCAATCTAGTCCATTCCTCTGCTTCTTGCTTGTGAAAGTACAGCCAGTTCTACTTCTTGTTTATCATACATAAACCCTGTGCTCTTTGTTCTGCTCCCTTGCTGATGTTTTTCCTCTTTCTTAGCTTCCTTTTCCTTACCTGACCAGCTCCAGATGGAGGTAAATCTCTTCTCTTTTACATTATTTCATGTAGAAGTCGGAATACACTTAACAACTTTCCAGGGTGTGTTAGTGATATATTAGAAGGCTGTGCGGCAGGGAGGAAAGATTTATGTGGGTTTGGTGATCAGCAAGACATCAGTTTCCAATACCTCTGTCCTTTTAGCTAAGTGGCCTTTAGCAATTCTTTTAACCTGGCTGAGCCTAAATTCCCTTATCTTTAAAATGAGAAGACCTGTCATATGTTAGATTCCCCAGCACTTGGCTTGGTATGCAGACAGTAATTTCATTTTCAACAGAGCTTAATGTCATTTTTGCTTTCCAAGTATGTAAATATCTCCAAAGCCTGAGAAAAAAAATTTCATTCAACTGTTAAAATAGTAAAAGAAATAATGTATACAAAACACACATATAGTTCCTTGTACAGAGTAACCGTACTAAATGGTAGATGTACTATTTTTATTAGAGTATAAACTTCAGTAATATTCAGTAATAATGGCTTGCACTCAATTCATCTTTGATGCCGGTGATCAGCATTGTTTAGCAGTGTTTGGTTGGTGCTCAGATACTATTTGTGGAGTGTATACTTCCATATTGCTTGGATTAGCTTTGTGAAGTAAGAAATAAAGATTTGGGCAAACCCAAAGACAGATGCATGCTATTAGGTTTTATTTCTAAAAGAATTCAATTGAATAAGTATTTGTAAGTTTGGTATCCAGTTCAATACCAAAACCTGTAAAGCACAGAACACTGGAGAGAACATTTTTTAAATTTTTTCCTTTTTTAAAAAAAGTGTTATTAAACAAGAGCATATTTTTCACTTCTCAGACTTTTGGCTAAGATCAAGTATAGTATCTGTTCTTATCAGTTTACTATCTGATACATCCTCTTTCTAAGGACAATGCACTAAATATTTTTTGGAACAGGAAATGAAATGGGATTTTGCTTCATCTGCCCCACTCATCAGCTACTATTGTAGTATCTCCAGGAATGGTGCAACCTTCTCAAGGGAATTTTAAAAATACATAAGTAAAAGAAACAAAATATAAAATTTATCATGCCAACCATTTTAAGTATTTAGTTCAGTAGTGCTACATATACTCAAACATTGTGAATATAGTTCTATAGATACCCAGATCTTGCAAATCTAAAACTCTATCCTCATGAAAAAAATAATTTCTCTCTTCACTCTTCCTCTAGCCTTTGGCCACCATCATTCTATTTTCAGCTTCTGAAGAGAAAATATTAAATGAAAAAAGAAGAAAAGAGCATTCCAGGGTGAATGCTTCATGCATTGATTACCACAGGAGTGAGAAAAAGCAAAGGAAAACAGAAAACAGAGATGTCCCTAACACAGACAACATGTCACATGCTGAGTTAGAGACTAAAACTTGGAGCAGGCCAGTGCTTGGGAAGCCAGGCTGAACATCAAGTCCTGTGTAGGAAGCCAGAGGTGGAGTAGTGCAGCAAGGCCAGAATCAGTTTCTGAATATTAGAATGGGGACAGGCCAAGAGCAGAATTATCTGGAAGATTCCAGAACCATAGTCTGAGGAAAAACATGAGGCACCAGTGAGAAGATGGAGGAAATGGAGAAAAGAACTGCAGAAGGTAAGGGCAATACACTTAGTTGCTGTGGATGGGTCTGAATGTCTCAGGCAACTTCAAAGAATCCAGTCATGGGCCCCCTGGGCAATGCTGGGCCTTATGCCCCGGGTTGGATGAATAGACAGCACATAGAAAGGAATGCTGCCCATTCTCCCCCTGACCAATCGGTGCTTATTAAGAGTCAAGGTTCATTAATCTCTTCACCTAATTTCAAGAGTTCAAAGATAATTTGGGGGGCAAGTAAAAGAGAGGTGCTGAAAAACACAAAATGCAGCAGGATTTGTCTATGTCCCACCCACTTTCAGATGGGCCTACAGGGGGAAAAAGGTGCTTAAGGAAAAAAAAAAAAACTCTAAATTGAACATCAGACCTAGATTATTTTCCATCTCCACCCAGTCTTTTTATATATAACCTTTGGCTGGTCCAACCTTTGGTTCCCCTGTGGATCAATTTCCTTACAATTTTCAAGGACTTTCAATGTTCAAGCAAACTCATTGAATAAAGACAGATATTTTCCTACCCTTGTATGATGACTATTTATTATTGTGATTCTCAAAATTATCCCATGAACTTATTAAAAGTTAACATTCACTGTGCACATATCTGAAGACTAAGGTTAATCCAAAGGACAAAACAAAATGAACTTTAATAAATCATTTAACTACTTCAAATAAATCAATTCCTTGACTATGAAATGCTAAAGGGCAAATTTCCTCCTTTTCTCACACCTGTCATCCTGAGAAAACTGTGGTAGTCTCTGTGGGGCAGGAGGGCACCAGAGCCCTAGAGCACATGACAGGCTCAGCAGACATGGGGAATGGCCCCATTCGTTCTGCAGTAAGGGAACATTATAAATACAGTAGTGAAGAAACACCCAGAGTCCTTTTGTTCTGGGAGCTTACAGTCTAATGTGGAATAAGGGAGCTTATATTTTAATGTGAAATAAAGTAGTAAATACAAATGAAACAGGATGGAGAGACCCATGAGAAGTTATAGGAAGGTAACAACAGTAACACTGATATATAATGAAAGAGTTAGAGAGGAAATGCTCCAGAATGGGGAACAATTTTTTAAAAGTGTGCAGATATATACACATGATTTATTACATGTCAGTGCCAGCTTATGCTTTTGTCCACAGTCAGCGATGTGGTGCTCATACTGTAGCCTCCAGCCAAGAAAGAAGAGTGATCCAGGCATCTTCCCAGGGCTCTGCCTTGACCCTTCTTCCTCCCTCCTTGCCTAAGGTCCCCTTTTCTTGTCCCCTTTGCCTTTGTTTTCTATTTCTGCTGTAGCAAAGTACCACAAATGAATTGGTTTGAAACAACACATTTATTACTTCACTGTTCCAGAATTCCAATACAGTCTCACTAGGGTAAAATCACGGGTCAGCATAGCTACATCCCTTCCAAGGCCCTGGGGAAGAACTCATTTCCTTGTGTTTTCCAGCTTCTGTGGACTCTGATTCTCTGGCTCATGGCTGCCTTCCTCTATCCTTAAAACCAGGGTTGTGGCAGTTCCTTCGTCCCATTTAGTCAGTATGCCTCTTTCTGATCACAAATGAAAAAGAAAATCTTCATTTTTAAAGATTCAAGTGAATTAGACTGGTTCTATCTACATAATCTAGGCTAACCGCCCCATCTCAAAATCGTGTCTGCAAAATCACCGTTCCTGCGTAGGGTCACATGTGCCTGGGCTTGGACGTGGACGTGGTTGAGGACCATTATTTTGCCTACCACACTAAGGTAACTAGGACTTTTGTGTGCTGTACCAGAGCATTAAAGCCTTTTAGAGACAGTGCATCATCCCTTGCTGTAGCTCTCTCAACTCCTTCTCTACATAATTGAGAATATTCTAAAAGCCCTAAGCTACAACAGAAAATATGATCAAAATTGTTTCTATTCTTTCTCTATTTTGACATTCATTTTGAAATATCAGTTCCATTGGTTTATTGGTACATGTTCGGGATACGCACTGAATTTACTGTGGGAGTTTGTACATGGTCATAGTCCATCAATTTAAGAAAATAATTTTTGGGCTTCTCCTTTGCTGTTACTCCTAGCACGTGCCAACAGCGCCTGCTAGGTCATCCCACGGTGAGCTCTGCTGTTAAGTTGCTATACCTGTAGTGCCTGAAAGGGAGCTGGGAGGAAGCCAGGTACTCAAGTGAATTGTGCAAACCCAGGGACCCCTTGAGTCCACCTATGGTTGCTTTACTATTATTTTCCTACCCATACCATTCTTTCACATTCCTTATTACAGAAGTGAGGTTTGTAGTATACGTCACAAGAAACCATTTTCCCCTTATTTCTTTAATGCTTATATTTGTACCTGTGTTTTCGTCCTTGCATTTGCCATCAGTATATTCATGAAGGTTCCTTTTTCCATGGAGTTTTTATAATGAATAGCCAGTTCATAAAAACTCCCAAGTGGCTTGCAAATGCCAAGCAATAATTCAGTCATGCTAATCTTTTGTGTGTAATTTTTGTATTTTATTGCAGGAGTGGACATAGAGAATGATAGGAACACTTCTGGTTTTGCATTTAAGCATCTCAGGAAGATACACTGGATGAAAACCAGTCTTCACTTCAATAAGCACTTACTGAAGTGATCTTAGACACCAGGAGCCGTATTAGGCCCAAAGAACACAAAAATGTTCTCCAAACTGATCAAGATTCTGGTTTCCTCTGAAATCAACAAATCATTGGCTCTCAATTTCTTGAGGCACATACAAATAATTATAATTTCATACATACACAAAATATCTCATTGTTTTTGTAATGTTCTTGTTGATAAAATAACTGAGATATAGAGTCTTAGAGTTTTTGTATACTCAGCCAAGCCAATATTTAACTATAAAATAATAAAAAACATAGCAGCAAAAATTGAATCAGGCTAATTCATGATGATTAATCCCTGGGGTGTTAGCTGAAATGTTATCTGCCCATGCAAAAAAAGAAAATAAAAAACACATTTGCTGAGAGAAGGGGAGGTCTGGAGACCAATGGACAACAGACCCCCCTAGCTGAATGGTATTTGTGACCTGTTCATGTCCATCTGCTACCCCGGGTGCTTTGTTGTGCCTTTGTGCTGTAACGATGGCCTATGTGTCACCGCGAGGTGAGATGAGGAAAAGTCTCACAAGAGTGAATGCTAGAAGTGCTAGTAACTTAGTTACTTCTGTGAGGCTGGGACACAATACAGGACACAGACAGCTTCAAGCAGGGAAGGCTCATTGCGGCTCACGGTTGTCCCACATTGACCAGCTCCAGAATGGCATAACAGAGAGGTAGAGCCGAGGAAAGCTGCTGACCTCGCTGTGCCAGGAAGCAGACAGCGAAAGGAGGGAGATACCCCCTTCCAGGGAACCCGCACTTCCAGCCAGGCCTCACTTGGTGACAGCACACTCAGCGGCTGAACTCAATATGGATGAATCCAGCATGAGTACAGCACGCCATGATCCAGCCACCATCATCACCCCATGATCCTTCCAGAAGCCCTGCCTCTGAGTGCATGAGGCGTTGCAGGGACATCTCAGAGCTGAACTACAACAGCTAGGAAAAGGGTCAGGGAGGAGGTGTGCCTATTGGTGGAGGTGCAAGACTCTATCCAGACACTGGAGAAAAGGGTAAGAGAGGATGGAAAAAGAGCCAATGAGTACAAGAAGGAGGGAGAAGTGAGCCAAAAGGAAGGCGTGACAATGACAGGAAAGATATTACACGCATGAGAATGAGAGGGGAAAGGGAAGTAGGTGAGGGGAAAAAGGAAAGATGTTTGAAAGTGGAAGACCGGCATCAGTGAGAGAGACAGAGTGACAGGTTCCCACGTTCTCTCCTCGCGCTGGATTCTGGGAGCAAAGGTCCACTGTTGCTACAGTCAGCTGACAACCTAGTTGTGGGCGTTCATGAAGGGGCAAGTCCCAGTCCTTCACAAGAGCAGTGCCCTCAGCTCTTCCTGCGAGTCATTTCCCTAGCCGTCCAGGAAGCAGAGCTGTCCTTAGGCACAGGGCAGTGCTCTCTCGGCCTACCGGGTTGAAGGCAAGGTGGATCATGCCCGGCTAGAAGCACATCTACTCCTCGCCAGGTAGAAATCCATCCTCATGCCAAGGAGTGGATAATGGTCAGCTTCCCCAGTGATTGTAACAAAACAAAACTTCCTCTGCCTCTTACCTTGAGAACAGTGAGTACTCAGCAAATCAGTGCAAGAGAAAAAGCCAAAGGAGAGGTTGTTTTGTAGTTCTGTTTGACCAACAAGCCTCTCCTCTGACTCAAAAATTCCCCAAGAAAACAGCCTAGGAATAAACCGAGGAGTGTTGTGTATTGTTCTGGAGGGCCAGTTGGTGTGAGAAATAAATAAGTAAATAAAAGACCCTCATTGTGTCTGTTTAAAAATTGGCACAATTTAAACTAGGCGTGGTGGCCCATGCCTGTAATCCCAGTACCTGGGAAGGTGAGATGTGAGTTTGAGGTCAGATTGGGTTACATAGTGAGTTCAAGGCCAGCCTGAACTACATAGCAAGACCCTGTCTCAAGAAAGAAAAAATGGGCATGATTTGATCTGGCTCTTATGAATATTATTGTAAAAGTGTGTAGATAAGATCAAAGTAAGTTTTTAGCACATTGGTTATAATATAATAAATCATGACATGGGTCAGGCTCTACATAAGATTGTGGCTGCATTATAAAAGAATTGACATCATTTTTAATATTGATTCTTCTCACCACTGGACATTGTGTCTCTCCATGTAGTTAGAGTTTCTGTAGTATCTTTTCATAATTTTATAATGATTTTAATGGTCCTGTACATTTTTGTTAGTTTTTTTCTATGTATCTTAAATTATTGTTGTTAACATTATCTTTTGTAAAGTTACATTTTCTCTTTTGGAATAATGTATGGTCCAGTTATTTCATTTCTTTTGAGTAATGATTGTTTATCCTGTAGCCGCTCCAAAATCCCTTTTTTATTGTATAGTTTTCTGCAGGTTATCTTTTATTCTGTGTATTTATTCCCCACCATCAGTAATCATGACAGATGTTTTTTCTTATTAATTTATTATTGGTCTTATTGTGCTAGATGAGACTCCAGCATGAGTGGTTATGTTGGGTATCTTTTCCTTGTTCCCTATTTCCCTATTTTCACACTGTATTGGAGCACTTTATTCCTGTAATGCATGTTTACTATGAGTTTTTGAAAGACATTTATTATAAAGATGAAGAAATCACTCTTAATAGTAGTTTTCTAAGAGTATTTGTCAAATCAAAAGTTGCTACATATTGCCCATTTTTCTTGTACCCATTTGGATAATCATACTATTTTTAATTTTTTAAAAAATCTGTATTGTACAAAACACATATAAACAAGTGCATTGCTATGTTTGGCCTCCTCTGTTCAAGAGAGAATTGATGTTTATGAAGATAAAGGTGCTTAATATATAATTTTTCTTTTTCATCATACACTTTTCTGACTTAGGGGTCAAGTTGTATATGAATCTACAATTAAGGGTTAAGGAGTTCTCTTGTAGAGTTTTCTAGAGTAAACTACATATGAAACAAATGATCTAATTCATGAATATTTGGTAGAATCTATACAATAATGTAGGCAGTGTCTACTGTGTATGAGTGTGTGTGTGTGTGTCTGTGTGAGTTAAGAGTAATAGTCATATACACTGTATTATATTTTTCGTAAGTCAATTTTGGTGAGTTATATTTTTCCAGGAAATTATTCATTCACTCAGGCATATAAAGTTATTAATACAAAATTATTGATAGTATTTCCCTATTATTTTATATCTAGGCTACATCTGCCAACATGGTCCTCTTTCTATACTTAGAATATTGTGTATTGTTTTCAGTGTTTTTTCCTTGAGGAATCTTACACAAGATTTAGCGATTTTATTAGCTTTTAAAAGTAAGTTATTAATTAGGTATTTTTCTGTAAGGTCATAGATTATTTTAAGTAATTTTTGCTCTTTTTTCTCTGTTGTTTTTCTTTAGCTATCTTTTTTTGCTAACTCCTTGAGGTGGCTGCATACCTCACTTTCATCCAAATATAACATTTAAAACTAAAACTTTCACTACTGCTTCGGTTGCTTCCCATACATTTTGTTACATGGTATTTCCTTATATATTTAATATTCAGAATAGATTCTGATGTACATTTTTCCATAAATGTACATGTATATATATTTCCATGTATTGATTTTGAAGTGTATGACTTTTAAAATTCAGATATATTTCCATTTCCAACTTTTAAGCCGTAATCAGAAAACGTAGTTGCTTAGAATATGTCATGATTTCTAATTTGGATGAGGTTGAAATGTTGGCTAGTGTGATTCTAGTTCAAACTTTGTACTGTGCAAACTGCTACATTTCTGAAATGAGAAGACTCCTGCATTATCCTACAATATATAGAAGGATCAAGGATATTGAAAGGACCTGCCTGTAACCTTCTCTATAGTAAAATGGCTCCCTGTGTCACCTGCCATACAAATTCTCCCTCTTTTCCCTTCTTGCACGGGTCCGAACTTTGCTCATCAGGGTTGGCCATTGACTGGTTATAAATTTTAAAATTTTCATTTTTGCACACTAGCTTCAGAGTAGTAAATGTTCTTGGATTTTTCTTCTCCAGGTAAAAACTCCTTTTCCTTTATAGAAAGCAGAAGACTTTTTCTTCAAGTTGTGAGCCAGATTGTTAGTGTTGATAGTAAGGTCAGTTAGTGAGAAAAAAAATGAATATCCCTCAATTTTTCAGTAACTTTTGGGAAGAGGGGTTGAACTAGGGATTGAATTTGGGGCCTTCAAGGTGAACTAGATCCACTGCCCTTTTTTAGTTCTTATTTTGAGGTAGGGTCTCGCTAAGTCACTAAGTTGCTCAGGTTGAGCTTGAACTTGTGATCCTCCCATCCCAGTCTCACAGAGTGCTGGGATTACAAGTGTGCATCACCACACCAGACGTCAGTAACTATTTTAAATTGAGCATAACTGCATTTGTAGGCAAATGAAGGCCTTAATGACACTTCATTTCAAAAAGCCCAAAAACCTACTTTATTTCCCCTCCCTGTGAAGGAAGTATTCTATAGTCAGCTAGTGGGGCAGGAGTTTGAAATGAAATTGTCAAATTTCTTGTTTTGTTCTTTGGTTTTAGTACTGGAAGTGATTTAAGAGATTAGTAAAGGGTTTTATTTAATAGATGAGGAAAATAAGTCTCAGAAAGATTAGCCAAGGCTGGCATTTAACAAATGAGGAAAGTGAGTCTCAGAGAAAGACTTAAGAATTTGTCTCTGATCAATACGCCTTATTCCTGGAAAAGCTTGAGATGAAATCCCACGGATTCCCTCCCTTACCACCACACTGCCTAATATGAATGCTCTTTGTAAAACTACTAACTAAAGATGTGAAGATTTCTTTTTTCCACAGTTCAAAATTTAGCTTGTAAATGTCCTGATGAGCTTCAAACTTGGCAGAGTTACAAAGTCTAAAGAAGAGTAGGGTGGGAGTGAATTTTCCATACTTCTTGAACTATCAAAAGCTGAAATTAATGGCATATGGTATTGCTAGAGATCCTCAGATCCTAACAATATGATGGTAAATGCTTCTATTTTTGTGAGAATATGGAACAGGCTTCTTTACTCATGGGAGCAAATATCAGGTATGATGTGAGATCAACAAATGGATCCTCAACAGCTAGTGTAAATAAAAATAGAAGACTTTCAAAAGAATAATCCATAATGACAAGATTTGACACAATATGTAAATCAAAGTGCATGCTGATAGAGGTAAATGAAATATCAAACTTAATTATTCTTAGCCACCTGAAACTATCGTTTAAGATGTGGTAAAAGCCTGAAGCATCCTTCAGTTGAGTTGTTCCATTCATGACTTTCTGCTGGGCCGAGGATGAATCACATCCTGTAAGAAGAAGAGATATGGGAGTCAGGTAGAGGGTGGGCTAAACAGGCCACCACAGCATGTTAGGGGCATCCGGTGTCCATGAAGAGGTTCAAAGTAGAGAAATAGTTAGATTTAGTTAGATTTGAAACTGTCATTCTGGCTAAAGTGTGGATAATCAATTAGCAGTATGCAGGAATAGTGGCAGGAAAGCCAGCAGGGAAAATATTATGATTCTCCCAAATAAAAAGATGAAGAGGCTCTATTTGAGGCCTAGAAATGGGGATAGATTTGAGAAGACAAGATTGGGAAACAGCAAGGTGATAAAGGTTTGAATATGATAAATGAAAGAAAAGGTGAATCTAAGAAACTCTGAACTGTCCAAGTACTGTTTTATTAGTTACCCAAATCACCATTATCTCATGTTTAACATGTCACAGCACAATGAAGTTATTTACTGGCTAGACCGAGCAATGTGCAGATTCCACCAGGAACTCAGTTTCACTGTATTGCTCACTTTGGGTTGCTGTACTTAGAACAGATCATCCAGCTGTTGTTCGTCTAGGGCGGTCATCCCAGGATCTTGGCATCAAATTTTGGGGTTGTCCTCTATGTAGTTTCTGGCCAGTGTGTCTGAACAGGAACCTCCCTTGAGGGTGAGGGGTGCAATCAAACGGGGGGAGCACCTTGTATCACAGGCACAACTAAGTCACACCTGGGTGGGTGCAGGGCAAGTCAGGAGGGAGCTTTCTGTCCTCCCTCAGGTGTCCATTTCTCCTTTCTGCTTACCTTTGATCTTTCTTCTCTTCTGTCTAATTCTCTCCATCTTTTGTTCGTTTCTCACTCACTCTTCCTTTTCAACCCTATCTTTGCCTACCTGTGATATTTTGTGTGGCAAAAAGACATCTAGACTCATCATCTTATGGAACAGCTACAATCTTTTCTCTTTGATGATGAATTTTCTTCCCAGGCTCACTGAGATGAACTTCGTAGTAAGAATTTAACATCCTTTTACTTCATGTGCTCATTGGAAGTGTGAAACTTTTTGGACTGTTCAGGCAGCACTCCCGTATGTAACCCTCTCATGATGACCCTGTTTCCTTCACTGAGTTTTCACCGCTTCTACCACAGAAAGACACCAGGCTCTGTGCACACAGAATTGCCATGCGGGGGTCAATTCTGAGTTGGGAAGAAGGTCTCAATGCTCATTACATGATGAAAAGCTTTTTTTATGAAGGGAAAGTCATCAAGCCATCAAAAAATATTTATGATAAACTGTATAAATTTTGGCTCATGTAAAGTTCTGGAACATAACAGACACTCAAAAGATATTTGTAAGATGGTTGAATAAAGGATTATTTTGGATCACTATTATTAGAAATATTAAAAACATATTAAGGTTGTCTTACCGAGCACATAAGTTCTCCAAAAATATTTATTGCATCTTTTCAGATAATCTTAAAGCAAACTGCATACTTTGTGGGATGATTTGTTGCTTTTAATTCTTTTTAGAAATGTTAAAGATATTAATTTTGTGCCTTAAACTTGTGAATAGCTCTTAGCTAAACAGGGGAGTAGCTTGGAATTTCAGTTTATTACACCAAGTCCTCAGCTGTGGCTCCCCTCTTACCTCTAACATGCAACCCCAAAGTCACATAACCTCATCATTTATCCCCAGGACACAGCTTAGAGTGTGTTTGTTTATGAATTGATCTGTAATAGGCCCAGAGGAGCTCAGCAGTATGAAATTTGGACTAGATTACACCCATGGTCAAGAGTTGTCCACAAAATGAACTTCACTCTGCTGTTTTCATAAACCTCCAGCCCCCACCTGCTGATCTCAGATCTTTTTCGCCTTCAGGAGAGCCAGATGTTCTACACCCTGTGTACCGCAAACCACCACTTTGAGCCCCAGGACAGTGAAGAGGGAACATGCCTCAGTGTTCACCGCCAAGGGCTTTCCACCAGGATCCAGAAGCCTGGGAATTCCACCCTGGGGAAAGAAAGCAGGAGCTTTCCTGCCAGATTCACCTCCCACCACGGGAGGCTGTTTATAATTGTTCTTTGAAGAGCCTGTCCAAGTATTTAGAACTCTTTCCACCCACGCAGGCCAGGCTTGGCTGGACTGGGGAGCCATCATCATTTCTTTCCTGCTCCCGATCACAGGGGTGCTAAAGCTGTGGGCAGAGCCTTTTCTTTCCACTTTGTCTTCTAGGGACAAGACCCAACCTACTCCAGATGTGGTGGTGACAGCTGAGATGTTTTCCATGGCAAGGTTTTAGCTTCGATTCACTTATCATTTTCAAAACATCCCTGGGGAATTCGTGCACATGGCATGGTTTCCCTTTTGTGCTAGTAGCAAGCATGAGTTGAGCAGCTTCTGAGTAAACATGTCCACTTAAATGGGTTGACATATCCACCCAAGCGGTTATTTGACAAAAAGTGGTGACTTGTCCACAAGACTATCTTTCCTCACCTTTTTATTTAAATTTGATTATAGCACAAAATCTGCAACCTATACCTACCACTGTGGTTCTCTTACTTATGACCTTTTTTTAATGAGGAAATTGAGGTTCACATAGGTAGGAAATGAGAGGGCTGAAGTTTAAAATCTTCTCTATCCAAATCCAAAACCTGTCATTTTATTTCCCCAGAATTCAGAAGAGCTTAGTAGAAATATTAGTGGGTTCATATCCAAATCTAGTGTAATGTGTCCTTTAGCCAAACAAATGGCCTCTTTATTTAGATTAGTAGTTGAAATTAAACTTATTTAAAATCATCCTTGAGGAGAAATATTGTGTGTGCCACAAGAGAAAACATTTGCTATTTTCACTTTTATTCTCAAGCCATTTCAGTCTTGCAAAAAACTTGTAAGGAGACTATACAGAGCTTTTCCTGTATATCATTTCCACAGCTTCCTCAGAAGTTAACATCTTATATGATTCCAGCACAATTAACAAATTCACAGAATTAACATTGACCATGATATTGTTAATCTACAGATCTTATTCAAGTTTCACCAGTTGTTCTATTAGTGTCCTTCTCAGAGGACGGAATTCAGGACCCCAAACTGAACGCAGTCATCATGGTTCCTTAGTTTCCTACCTTCTGAGCAATTCTTCCATCTTTTTGTCTTTTATAGCCTTAACACTTTTGAGTAGTACTAGTAAATTATTTAACAGGAGACCTTTTGCCTTGGGTTTGTCTAATGCTCCCCCCTGATCCAGGCTATGTACCCTCGGCAGCAATTGTACAGAAGTGACTTTTGCTTATCCAGTGCATATCAGGAGACACATGATGGTGCGTTTCCTTATTGGTGAAGCTACACTTGACTACTTAATAAAATAGTGTCTACCCATTTCTCCCCTGTAAAAGGACTTGTTTCCCTTTGTAGTTAATCAGTATCTGTTCTTTCAATTGAATCTATCTGGTAATCATTTGTAATTATATCACTTGATCTCTTTGAACCCCCGTGTCCTCATATTTTAATAACATAATCACTATTCTACATACCCATCAGAGCTGCTGTGAGACACAAATAACATACAAAAATACTTTGCAACTATGAAGTTGTATAGCACACCGTATATCCTTCATATTGAATCGAATGTAAAACAAGAAGCCACTAATTGACAGATTACACAACAATGATTTTTTTTTAAACTTCCACTTAGAAGAGAAATTTAAAAATTAGTCTCTAGGCAGCCGTACAAGGTAATTTCTGTGCTGTCTTACTCTCACAGACCTCCCAGAAGGACCAAATCTTATTTGAAGATTCCAGAGTGTCTGCTAATCTGAGGTTCCCTGGACTTCTCATTCAAATTAATAAACATAAAGGAGAGATCACTGTGTGTATTGTGATTTGGGATTAGACTATACAGTGTAACATTGTGATTTCTCTTTAATTTCACAAATGTAATAAGCATATCCTGGTTCATTAACACAGAGGCACAAAGCAGTCATATTCTTTCCTATTTCCAGCATGCATCCATATGACTTGTTAGTGGGAAGTCTAGCAGCTTACTCTTGAGACCTCCCCAGGAAAGCCTTCCCCTCCCACACACGTTCAGAGCCTTTGTTAAGTTGCAGAAGCCCAAGCCTTCCTCAGCCTCATGGGGAAAGATGTTTGATCCTTACTGCTCTTCTGCTTCTTTTTTGCACGCACTGAATTTCGTCGCTAAAACTAGCTCTGCACTGAGCTGCAAAGGCAGCAATGACCCCTCATTCCTAAACCAAAGTGCACCCCATGTCCAAATGCTGTCTTTGCTCTCAAACTACAATAGGCTAAGAGAACTAGATCAAAGGGGAATTCCTATCTCAGCCATTACCACCCTTACACACACACACACACACACACACACACACACACACACACAGCCTCCCCCTTGTATAGACCAACAATCACCACATCACATATTGCATTCCTGTTGGTATAATTCTCTTGGAAGCCCTTAATGTCTTCTCTGCAAATTTTTTTTTTTTTCTCTGCAAAATTTTGTCTCCTCATCCGAGTTCACTATAAGATGTGAGAAGGATCTGGATTCATTTTCTCTCAAAGGTTTCTAGATTCCTTATACTAATTCATCAGGCTCCTCTTTAGAGACCAGTCATGCTGATTAAGAGGTGTGATGAAGAGGTCGTCTTGGTTAGGACACAGAATATCCCCATCATATTCTTCCCCCAGGCAAAGATTACCCAATAGTCACCCTGTACTTATTTAGCTAAGGAAATTATTCTTGAAATTCTGGAAAATGATCTGTTGCATGATAATTTACTATGTTCACCAGTAGAAAGAAAGAAAGAAAGAAGGAAAAAAGAAGGAAAAGAACAGTCTCTGGTACTTATTACACAAATATGTATAACTAAGTGTTCAAACCTCAGATATATGTGAGTCTAAAACAAGATCTCATTTTCTTTTAAAGTTCTGAAATGATAGCTTGGATCCTACCTACTTGTTTTCCATAAATCAATCAACTTAAAAATGTCTCTGGGCTATTTTTGAGACATGATCATGGTGTTCT